TGTTTTTTTGTTGTACATAGAGTGGCTGTGTTTTGGAGTGATTTCAATGGCACCTAATAACAATAATACATAATATTTTTAAATGTAAAATATTCAAGTTACTTTATTTTGCTTTTCAAGTTATTTAATTTTGTCTCATATCTCTTCAATATAAATACTTTGACAAAAACAACAACCAACCTATATATTTGCATTCAATTGTGTTATTATAAAGGGTTTAATAAATGATAAGTTAATGAATAAGTTTTGAGGCAAAAAATGGCTGTTGCCTTAATGTGATTATTTCAGTACTATTTAATACTTTGAGTCATAATATTTGAATTTTTTACAGGACAACTTTGGTATAAAATGTCTTCTCAATGGCTTCCCCTACTATTAAAGCCTTTCTCTAATTATTATTATTATTTTTTAATCTCTTTTACTCTCATTTCTCTGCTATATTATTTTTAAATATACCTTACCTACTCTTGGTTGCAACACACTCATATGTGTCACCATGACCACACTAATTTTTTAAAGGTTATAAGTTATATTTAATTATTTTAAGAACAAGGAAAACTGGTTTCTGATCATCATAAGAACTCTTCAAAAATAATTGTAAAATGCCTAGGAACCTTGAAAGTTCATATAAAAGGCTGGATATGTTGTTATTGTTATGTGCTTTCGAGTCAGACTCAACTCATAGCGACCCCTCCTTGTGTTTCTGAGGCAGTATCACTACAGAAGTAGATTGCTCCATCTTCTTTCCAAGGAGTGGCTGGTGGGTTTGAACCACCAGCCTTCTTGATAGCAGTCAAGTGCCTTAGGCACTATGCTCCCAGAGCTCTTACTTTTGATTTTACAAGGGATAAAAGGAGAGAAAACTGAGCAGAGAAGGAGGGACCTCCTACCACCAAAAAAGGAGAGCCAGGATTGGAGTGCATCCCTTGGACTCAGGGTCCCTGTGCTGAGAACCTCTTCTACCAAGGGAAAGACTGATGACAAGGACCTTCCCCCAGAGCTGACAGAGAGAGAAAGGCTTCCTCTGAATCTAGCACCCTGAATTCAGCCTTCTAGCCTCTTAAATGTTGAGATAATATATTTGTCTGTTAAAGCCATCTACTTGTGGTATTTCTGTACCACATTAAATAACTAAGCATTAGATAACTAAGACATAGGTCAAAGAAGAAATTCACATTTTATTCTAAGTGAAATGGGAAGTAATTGAAAGCCTTTTTAGGAGCTATGCTCCAAGTCACACATATTAAATATGTGCTGTGTGAGAAATATATATAAGTTCAATTTAACCTTTTTAAAACTCTGGTTGGATTTTGTGGTAATTATGAAGCTAATTGCAAGCATAAATATAGAATGGATTATCCATAGTGAATGAAGAACTATATTAGCATCAGAAACACCAGCAATAAAATCTGAACTCCAAAACTTAATAAGAATATAACAATTATGTTAATTCTCCATTTGTTCATTTGTAAAATGAGACCAATATCTGCTACATAGGGATATTGTAGAAGTTAAATGAGATAAAATGGATTAAGTTAGACAAATAAAAAAGTATCTAAATATGTTAGTTCCAATTTCAGCACACT